TCATTTCATTACATTTTTTGGCCCCTCATCTCTAATTTAGTTGCCAATCAGGGTCTCTATTAGGCACTGTTACACAGCTCTATCATTATTTTTGAATCCTAGCACGTGGGTTACTTGCTTTAGACTTTTCTGTGGTCCATACATGGACTCTTTTAAAAGGGGCACAGCAAGTAGAAAGCAGTACATAAGGATCTGTCTACCGTAGCCTTAAGTAACAACCAAAGTCTGAAGTTGACCTATAAATCCCTGAGTCTTCTGAAAACTGCCCCAGATTTTGTTAGTCTGGGCCAGCTCACTCCTGGAGAAGGGAACATGTATCCTTACAACACTTTGTTCCCTTCCTGAGACGTTTTGAAGTGGGCATATAAGAACTTTTGAATCACTGGGATGGTGAGAAGTACCACTTTTTGTTATAGCAGTAGGGCTGGATTTTGATAATAGGAGGTAGATAGGTTGAGAGGAGGTGGGAAGGGGAAGGTGGCCCTGGGAGAGAATCCAGTAGAGGAAGTAAATGCACTAGGTTTTGAGCCTTCTGGGGCCTCTAAGTCTCTGCTGGTTGTGTTGTTGGTGCCCTGGGTATCTGGGGTGTTTTGTGTGGAACACTTAAGAGTTAATCTTTTATTAGGTCTGATTTTGTTTCAGTGGGCCGTACTGGCACATGGGCATAAGTGACTGTATAAGATCTACATAATTTGGGGTCTTGATATGGAGCTATAGACACTTGAACATATGGAATTTTTATTCATTTTTCTTCTTTTTTATAAAATAGATCAAGCTGGAATACTGTATTAAAATTTAATGTGCCATTTTGAGGCTATGTCTCTCTACTTTTTAATTTATATTGACATATTGAATATTTTGTCTTTTTGAGACAGGGATTCACTGTGTGGTTCAAGCCGGCCTTGAGCTCACTTTGTAGTTCAGGCCGTCCTCAAAGGCACAGCCATCCTTTTGCCTCGGCCTCCCAAGTGCTGAGATTCCAGGTATGAGACACCACAATTGGCTTTAAAATTTAGTTTTTAAAAATGGCCTCACTTGCTCATAACGCAGCCTAATGTGCTGTTTTAGGGATAGATACCAAGTTACCCAGACATAGGAGAGTGTGTATCGCTCAGGTTTTCCTTGTGTACTTTTGTAAAGAGATAAAAAGACAAGAAAAAGAAAAAATAGGAACCAGGGTCACAGCAGGGTACAACCTAAGCCAGGGTCACATCACAGGAGTGGCCCACTCCAAACAGGTCACAGAGCAGCTGTGGCAAAAACAGGCATCCCGCTGCGGGCTGCCCATTTCCCAGTCAGAAAGGCCCAGGGGGGCAGCTCTGCTTTGTTTTTTGTCATGGCTGGAGCAGGCTTTCTTGAAACTGGAGCATGACTGTTGAAAAACCCATCAGGGAAGCAGTTAAATTGTACACAGCAGCTGGGCTTTAATCAGAAAGTCTTCCCCTGCAGATATTTATGTCTAGAGACTTGTAGCGTCTCTGTATGAGATCAAGCATTAATGGTTTTTAAAGCTTCCAGGTGATTCTAATGTACAGTCAGAGCTGAAAACCAATGGTCCAGTGTTTGAGGAGATACCTAGTCACAGATCTTTACTAATGCATCAGGTTTTTTAAAATTTCTTTTTATTTGAAAATGTTAAAGTGTGATATGAGACTAAAGGTAGAAGAAGCAGGAAAGAATGCAAGCAGGAATGATAGTCTCTCAAAACGTTCTCTACTATTTGAGATGCTTCATAGCTCACATATCAGTGAATGGCTCAGTACAAATTCTAGTGACAAATCAGTCTGGCATATGCTTCAGTGTTGCTAACCTGAAAGCATAAAAAGCACTTCATTAATTCATCGTTCTACTACTTCACGAGCTTTAGTGAGAATGCTTGGTGCAAACAAAACAAACACAAAACATGGCCTGTGCCCTCCTGGGACCTGCGCAGCTGTGGCAGCTGACACAAGAGGCACAGAGTGTGCACCTGTGAGCCATGAATTCCCCTTTTCCTCCCCTTCTTCTCTAGCTCAGTTAAATGTAGCTCAGGGTTGACTACTGCCTTTGCAGTAAGGTGAGAGAAACAGACAGTAGAAGATCTGATTTGACAGCTGAGCTTTACCTATTGGTTACACCAGGACACGAACTATTTCTCCACGTTCCTTTCCATCCGGTGCAAAAAAAAAAAAAAAAAAAAAAAAAGGGCTGTAGAGGGGCAGTAACCTCTCCTGGAGGCTGAATACATGAGTACACAGGATGAGGGCAATCAAAGGGTTACAAGATCTGAGGTAACAGAATGAGAGGAAGGGAAAGACATGGATTGCTGAAATGAAGACGGACAGGGACCGCTCCCATCGAAATCAAGCCTTTTGAGTTTGTCACCTGACTTGCACATTAAGGACTGATTACTCTATGAGGTTTTGTGTCCTTACTGCTGTTTGTTATTATTTACGACTATTGCACTCTCAACAACCATGTCATTGAGACTGAAAACACTACAGCATTTCAGAGAAGGTCCGCTTCCCATCAATAGCCAGCCAAATCCAAAGAAAGCTGGAATGCCTATCGTCACTAAGATTTCATAGAGTACAGATTTTGTTTTAAAGTGGAAGAAACTTTGGGGTGACTTACTACCCCTTCCCCATTTTCCAGATGAAGCTGTTAAACATGTAGGAATGGTGATGACGTGGCCAGGAGAGGAGTGAGGCAGAGGAAACCTCCAGACAGGCTTTAGAGAAAGGAAGACACTTGTTCCCTGGAGGATGGGCTCCTTGTTGAGAAGTTTTATTTTCCCTTTGAGACAAAGTAAATTATTTTAAGCAAAAGAAGCCGAAGTATGTAAGAAGACAAAGTAAATGTAAAACATTTAGATATAATTCGTGAGGTAAAGGAAATTCATTGATAATAAGATCAGAAAAAATCTGTAATTCACTTGTGTTAAATAAAGTTAATGGGAGGCCACTGTTTTACACTAAACTCCTGCTTTAATCCCCAACAGACCAACCTAGAAAGGAATGGAGTCACTCATGCTAGGTGCAACACGATCAGATTGTATTAGGAATGATTGGTTTAAAAAACTAAAACCAAATTAGAAGAACAGTAGCAACTGGTCAGATGGGGCCCCATTTACCTAGCTGCCATGATAAAATGTTCCTTCTGCCTTGATCCCATAAGAAAAGCCTCTTTCAATCACCAGTCTTCTTTCATTCTTATTTCTGCTTTATTCAGACCTTTTCTGCCTATAAACCCTGTCCTTTCTGCTCAGTCACTGGAACAGGTATTCTTTGTAGAATGAGCTGTTACTTAATTCTAGAATCACTACTAAAAGCCAATTAGATTTTAAAATTTGCTGGTATTTTGCTTTTTTACATTTGTGAGACCATCACAGTTAAGCTTAGAAAAAAAGGGAAACATTTCTCCCTTTTCCCTTCACTTTTTCTTCCCTCTTTTCTCTTCCTTCCCCTCCCTCACCCTCAAATGCCCCCTCTCCAACACCCCTATCCCTTTCTCTGGGTGTCTGGGCAATCCAAGCAAGGATTCACCTGATCTCAGTGACACGGTGTCCTTCTCTACTGTTGCCTTCCTAGTTGCAGGGACTATGCCAACCAGGAAGTGAGCATGTCGTGTGTGTGTGTGTGTGTGTGTGTGTGTGTGTGTGAGTGTGGTTGCTCCATGTGTCAACTCCTGGGCTTGACACTTGGATTCACAAATAAAATCAAATCCATGCCTTTCAGGGGCACACTGGTGACAGGACCTGAATATATTAATGATGGAAAAAGTAGAAAACGTGGACTAATGATTTTGTTTTCACAAATAATCAAGACGTATCAGTCAAGATCCATAATATCATTATGTTATGCCTGCTGCATTTTTTTTGGCATTTTTGTTTTGTTTTTGCTGTTTAGGTGCACAAGTGTACAGAAGGAATTGTTTTTGCCAACATCAGGGAAAAACATTTTATAATTCCCAGTTCAGGGAGTGACTGAAGTTCATTGACACCAAGGAATTTTTGGTTTTTCTTGTTTTTAAGGTTGGATACACATCATTGAAATATCCAACTAATACAAGCAAAGGAAAAGTACTTAAATAGTGTTTCTAACCGAGGAGATCTGTGGTCAACACAGAGTATCTCTGCCAAGTTCAGAAAATCAACAGAACAGGGAGAGTTTTCTTTCCTGGTCCACAGTGCTAGATTTTTTCAAACTATAATTATATTTTTTTACTCTTTATTATTTTTGATTATTCAAAAGTAATGGATATCTTTAAGCTGTGCTTTGTGGTAATCCTCTATTAAGTTTTGTTGTATCTATTCGTGTTTATTTTTAGAAGGAGCATTTTGAGGTCAGGAAGTGTCTAAGTAATTATATTCCAAGGGTACTTAGCAGGGGTCCAGGTGCATAAGGATGTTGGATCATTGTGAACTGAGAATGCATTAAAGTTCATGCTTCACTGAGACTCCTCTGTTAAATACTTCAAAGTGGCAGCAAGCTTTCAAAGTAGGTTTAGGAGGCATAGAAATGGGTCAACAGCACCCTAGCTATAGCAGCAAAGGTGGCACCTGGGGTCTGGGTTTGTGGTCCTTTCCACCTCGGCCATCTTTTCAAGCTCAAGCCTTCTTACTTGAAGGGACTCTGTTTTCTAATGTATTGGTGACTTGTTTCCTGCCGCCTTTCATGTTGTCTTCTCATGGGCTTCCGTGCGGCAAATATTTGCCTGTCTCAGTATGGTCTTACCCTGGGGATTTACATCCTTACTCTGCTGTTAGTAACTGATGGGCCACGAAGAAGAAATCCAACTTTTTCTAAGTTCTAGGTCCTTACTTGTAAGTGGCAGACCTTAAAATCTTCTTCAACATGGGGAATATGTCTGCATCCAGAAGTTCCTTGGTAAATGTTCGCTTTATTCTACCACTTTAAGATAAGTTACTACATTAGATTAATAAGAAATAAGTTGAAGAGATACAATGACTCACCTAGATAAGTAGTGTAATATGAAGAAAGACAAATCTGAAGTGAATATTTTATTCATAAAACTTAATTTTATTTTGCAAAAGTCATCAAAAACATATTCAGATTTGATTTCTCTTCAAAACATGTTGTTTGTTTGCTATTTTACAAACAGGCAAGTTAATTTGACATGCCAAACATTTTTCATTCTAGTTCTCCTTGGATTTTTTTCCCTAAAAAAACAAAGGCATAAATATTGTCCAAACCCAACTTATATTACTACCTTCCAGAATTACTAACATTAATATTTATTAAGAGGAAATAAAAGCTACAAGACTTGGTCTTTGGCATTCACATTTGATACAGCAGTATAATTAAAATTTGTATTTGCTTTTAAGATAAACATTTTGAAAGAAATGCAATAAATTTTGTTTCTGCTCTGCAAAGGAGCCACTGTATCAAAGCATTTAACTAGAGCTGCTGAGTTCCTGCTCGTAGACTATTACTTCCAGCCTACTTATTAGCTTTTCTTCCTGTACTCAGTACATGCTTTTTTTCCTCCAGTGAGTGAAATCATAGAAAGGAAACAAGTTTTTCCCTCTCTCCCCCCAGGCATCACGCAAAGGCAAAGCAACATCAAAAGTCACAATATCTGAATTTACTTTGATTATATTTAGTTTCTTAGTATGCATTATAACACTTGTTTATCTAAAATTACCATTGTTGATTTCAAAATTTAAAACAACTTATGACCCATGTTGGAAAGAAAATAATTTCCCCCAGCCTGCTCTTTTGCATTCAGGTTGGAGAATTTTAAGTAAATTTAATTAAAAGAAATAAGAGAATTTTAGGTATTATCCATTTACTAGAAAATAAAACTTTAATGGGTCAACATAATTTATTCACATCTTTTTCTATGTTGTAAACAAAGGTATGATACTTTTGACAGTAGCCTACAAAGGATTTTTTTGTAGTATATCCTTCTGTATAGAGGATATATTAAGGGAGCATTTTAATACAATTCTGGTAGGGTCTCTTATCACTTTATTTTCCAGGAAAAATTGGTAAAAAGCCAGCCTTATTAAAAAAAAGTAAAGTGATAGATTCTGATTGAGTGAACGTGGTATATGAGATCAAGTCATTGCCTTTTCTATGCAGCATTTACAAAAGTAACTAGAGAAACATCTGTCTGAAACTCCAGGCAGTATGTACGTGAGAGTGCATAGAGAAGAATGCTTTTCTGGCCAGAGTGAAAGCTGACCTAGTAGTCACCTAAATCAATGAGTTGCAAGCAACACAAATGTGCAATGCCATTTCAAAGAGTGCAAATCAGATCAACTGGAAATTGTACTGTGATATCCACATAGTTTTGAGAAAAATTCCCAAGCCAGGCGAATGTGGATAGGGACAAAGACATAGGCAGTGTACACTACCATAGCAAGGATGGTCAGTAAGACAGTGTTGAACATGGATTGCTCCCAGGGCTCCATGACAGCGCAGCATGTAATGATTTGGTATTGATAGTAGAGCCAAGAGAAATATTCTTTCACACGCTTGAAATCCATGCTTGCAAGCTTCTTCAACCTGTGGCAAGTCTACCCTGTTAAGAAAGGTAATAGAAATGAAGAAAAATAAAATATGAATCCAAACACAAAGTTTCCTTACATTTTCATGACTTTAACATACTAAAATCGCTGCGAGAATGTTAAAGATCATTGAATGTGAATACTACATAGAAAAATACACAATATATTAATCACAGAAAATAGTCCAGACTATTAATGATAATTGCTATAATTTACAGAAATTATATTATTAATTGCATCTATCCTAAATGATAATTGCTAGTTATAATTCCAGTGATAAAACTACCTAAAAGGAATTCTAACCATATTTTCTTTATCCATGTTTATATACAAATGGGATAACTATGAACTTCTCTATTTCCAATTATACATACATATTCTGGCAGAAAAATTAAAGAATGGCATGCAGAAAAGTTAATATAGCAGTCCTGAATCTGTTATCTTCAGAAAGGTCTACTTAGTTATTTTGGTCCTTGACTGGTATTTGAGAATTTGGCTTTTGAAATTCTTGACTTCATTCTCCAAAAGGTTAGAATATCTCACTATGGTTAGACTCTACAAACTATACAATTTATGATGAAAAGATATCATCTGGTAGTCTGAAATTTTATTATAAATTTTATAGATTTCCAGACAAAGTGTGGCTAGCACCCACTTCACAAACTCTAGGACAAGGTGGTTTAGTCACTGAGTGTCTAATGGGCATTTCATGGGCAAAAACATGACACACACAGATGCTCTTTGGCTTGCAAGGGAGTTATTTCCCAATAAATGCATAGTCAATTGAAAGTATGGTAAGTTGAAAAAAGTGCAGTCAGTACCCCTAAACTACTGACTGTCAGTGCTGAGGTATTAATTAATAAAGTGCTAGGTGATGTGTCGATTGTTTACCGTGTCACATGGCAATGGTGTGTTTTTCGTTGGCAGAGAAAGGAGCACACTTGGTGTGATTGCTCACAGGAACATCAGAAACCTCCACATGGATCTCTCCTGTGTTGCTTTTCCTTGCTGATCCTGTTGTATATACCTTTGGTGTAAAAGCTCAGCTCTAAGTACAAATACAGTATATGTCGCATCCCACGCATCCTTCTAGATGTGACCTGCATTTTTTTTTACCAGTTCTGACTGCAGTAAAGGAGCGAAGATGAACAGGGTTGTTAAGTGTAGGGAGAAATAAGTTACAGGAGTGTGCTGGTCCATTTGTGCTGTTTCAACAAAACCCTGGAAACATGTAACTTACAAATAAATTTATTTCTCACAGCCTATGGTTGAGAAGGCCAAGATCAGCACCAGTAGGCCTGATATCTGGTGAAGGCCCTGTCTCTGCTTCTAAAATGGCAACTTGCAGGCTGTGTCCTTACAGGGAATTTCCACCACAGGTGGAAGGGCTAAAATTGTGGATGCTGTGTGCAACCCTCTTTATAACAGCCTAAAGCCTGTCTAAAGGGAGGAGAAACCCTAATTGCTGAATCACTTCCTAAACGCTCCACCTCTTAATATATTGCTTTGCAGATTAGATTGCAGCATGACTTTTGGAAGGGGTATAATAAACATTTCAACCATGATCATTTCAGTGACTGAGATTATCCTGGCATGAGATTTTCTATGGAAAGTTTTGAAAGTTTGCTGCCTGGGCACTCACACTTGCTTTCTGCAAATGATCAGTGTTTAGGGTAGTTCGAGGTGAATGACAGAGAATGTGGAGTCCATTAACTAGGTATCCAGTGCCAGACTGCACTGGATAAAGGTGAGCTCAGATAGATGCAGTCCTTCCCCTTAGGAAGTGTGGGCCAGGTGAGGACAAAGATAATAATCAGATAATATATTCAAGTATATGATTGTCAATTATGTAAGGGTTCTGGGAGAAAATGCAGTGTATAAGGGGATTTGGGAAACCCGATCTAGCATAAGCGTGTGTGTCAGGAAGAGATATTGGAGATGACATGCAAGAATGGTTAAGGTCCAAACACGTAAAGTGAATAGACATCTGGGAGATTGGCCACCATGCAGAGGACAACTTTTGCAAAAATTAGAGGTGGGAAGGAGCTTGGAGGCAGGTGGTCAAGGAGCCAGGGAACAGAAGAAGAAAAATAGGGAGCATAGTAAAACTAAAGAGCAGGATAGCTATCCTATACCCAGAAGTAGGGGGTATCTAGCTTCTAGTCTTTTTTTTTTTTGGTACCAGGAGTGGACCTCATGAACTCACCCTTGCCAGGAAGGCACTATGCTGCTGAACTACAACCCATGCTCTAGTCTTTAATCCATGAGTGAGGGAGGCCTCCTGGTTATCAATAGGGAGAGGCTGTTGTGGGATACAGAGGAGATGAGTTTAGCTCACGTGACACACTGCATCCTAAAGGCAAGTTGAAATGATGTTGGATATCAATCATCTAGAGAAAATCTGTGCCTCTACTTTTCCTATGGACACACTCTTAGAATTGGCTGTGTCCTGATAAATGTTTAAAATATCCTTAGTACTTCTTTAAACTTTATAGATAATATAGTCCATCTGGATGTATCATTGACTTTCCTGCTCCATACTGTAGTGTCTAAGGTATACTAACTAATCTCCAGCCCTTGTTTTCCTTTTAAAGATAGTTTCTTGCTTAGGCAGTTCTGGTGGACATTGATTATGGCCTTGTGAGAGACCTGAAACCACAGGCACCAAGTTAAACTGTGTCCAGATTCCTGAGCTATAGAAACTGTGAGATAATTAGTGTTCATTATTTTAAGCTGCTGAAAGTAAATCCATCAATCAAAGAGATAACACCTGAAAAGCGTATAATATGTATTATACTAAAGGACGATGTGTGATAAGAGCTTCATCACAAATACCCACATTTACAATGATTCGAAATCTGATCATTTTACATATACAACCATACTGCTAACCTACTTAATAAGTTAGAATTTAAACATTTTTTTTTCTTGAGTTTGAACAGTCTTTCATTTCTCACCCCTTGAAGTAGCCATCTCTGATACATGGATATTTCTCTTGTTATCACATCACAATTTAATCTCATGGAGTCTGTCATTCCACTAAAGCATTTTCCCCCTTTCTTTGTTTCATTTTTCTCTTATTGATGAGAAGTGAGTTTAAATGTTGTTTATTACTTGTTTCTTATATGCAAAGGTGAGAAGACAGAGTTGGTTATTATTGGTAGGCCATCTGTTACAGTTCATTGTTAGAATATGCATTATTTTTAGGTTCTAGATTTACTTAGGTAATATATTTCTCCTTTCTCATGAGTTCACTTTATTATCTCTTGTGCAATGACACGCACTATTAAAAAAAGAAACATTTTAGACTATTTGATTAGTATTGTGGGTAGGAAAATGTATTCATTCATTGAATAAACATAGTAGTAACAGTCTCAGAGAATTCTGTCCTAAAAGGTGCTGCAGACAGAGAGGCTCTTCTGAAGGCATCATAAGGAGCACAATATGGAGTTGGGATGCATGCTAAGTGGAAAAATGTTAAGAAGGGTGTTGGGAGCCGTGGCACTGTCAAGTCATCAGACGCGGTGATTGCGAGGCCTGTGGGAAAGTACAAAAGCCTGGGCTAGATTACCCCTCTCATCGAGCCCGCCTGTGTAGCACCTGTTTCTTATCACCCCACTAAGTTCCCGCCTCACAGGGTAGTCTGCCTAGCTATTAATCCTATATATAGCCAGTGCCTCCACCCCCGAGAGAGAGAGACTGAAGCACAAAAGGAGCCGCGGGGAGCGGACCGGTAGAGGCTTCGGGGCAGACTGAAGCACGGAAGGAGCCGCGGAGAGCGGACCGGTAGAGGCTTCAGGGCAGACTGTATAAGGAGAGAATAAAGAAAAGCCTGACCACCGCCAGACCTTGTTGTGTGTCTTTCCTGCCGGCCGGGAGCAACATCGACATTTGGAGGCCCGCACGGGGATTGATCAACCCCGAGACGCGGCGGTGGACTGCATTCTCCTACACAGTGCTGCAGCTGCAGGACAGGTGAGTAGAGGATAAGCCTGGGCCCTGGGTGGCGCGCACCTACAGGGTTTGTAGACTCCTCTCAACCTCACGCGTAAGTGGCGGGTTTCTTGGGCCTCACGCGGTGAGTATGAAACATAACACCAGAACTTAAGGTAATAAAAGAGTGTAAAACATAAACATAGAAGTAAAAATAACAGAAGATATATTAAAAATGGGAAACATGCCAAGTAAAGATACACAGCCTTGGTGTTGGTCCTTCGGAGACTCCTAAAGTCCAAGGACCTCAAGGTGGGGCGTAAGACTTTAGAAAATTTCCTTGCAGAGATTGACAGCTTTGCTCCCTGGTTTCTGCCTACAGGGCATGTAAACCTGCCCTCCTGGGAAAAGTTGGGCAGAGACCTTTCCCTAGCAGAGCAGGAGGGTAGAGCTTCAGTCTCTGCTCGTCCATTGTGGGAAATGATACACACGTGCCTAAAGAGTGAGGGTAGTTACGGGGGGAGCTCTCAAGAACTTGTAGAAGTACGCGAGGTGTTTGAACAGGCACAGTGAGGAAGCTCCCGAGAAGGGTCCGTCAAGGAGGGCAGAGATACAAAAGAGGAAGCCGAGGCGCGGTTTGTGTCTTTCCGCAGGAATCGGGACGAGAACCAATGTGGGTCCCAGAGAGGTTGACGCGACAAGTCCCTCGACTGAAGATCAGGCCTGTTCCACCAGAGGCCAACCGCAGACCCAACAACAAGATGAGCCCTAAAAGAACTGCAGGACAATCCCTTTTTGGGGGCCTGGAACGGCTTGCTCCCCTATGTGCTACCCTTGTATACGCATGGCTCGCTCGCATGGCCTACGACCGCGTTTAAAAGTGACAGGCTTCCCACATTCTCCTCCCTAGACAACAACATGTAGCAGGGTGGGTGAGTCAATGACGGGTAAGAGCGTGCCTCCCCAGCACGACTCAACCTAAGCCAGGCCCTACCCCGTTCCGCTCGAAAGCCGCTGGATTGTTAGATAAATTTCTCTCCGAGGGGATTCGTGGAGAGAAATGAGTGCATGCCTATGTGCAACCAGGTTCCGTCCGGTTCATTCCTGGCCCTAGAAAAAAGGACGAGGGCCTCAGGGCCTTGGTGGACCCTGGGACGGCCGACCAGGGTCTACGCTAAGGGCCTACGGTGGGCCTCAGTTCGGGGCATAGTCCTCTGCACTCTATCCAGGACGGGCTGCGATGCGCGTAGCCATCATTTAAAATAAAATAGGGGGAGATGTTGGGAGCCGTGGCACTGTCAAGTCATCAGACGCGGTGATTGCGAGGCCTGTGGGAAAGTACAAAAGCCTGGGCTAGATTACCCCTCTCATCGAGCCCGCCTGTGTGGCACCTGTTTCTTATCACCCCACTAAGTTCCCGCCTCACAGGGTAGTCTGCCTAGCTATTAATCCTATATATAGCCAGTGCCTCCACCCCCGAGAGAGAGAGAGACTGAAGCACAAAAGGAGCCGCGGGGAGCGGACCGGTAGAGGCTTCGGGGCAGACTGAAGCATGGAAGGAGCCGTGGAGAGCGGACCGGTAGAGGCTTCGGGGCAGACTGTATAAGGAGAGAATAAAGAAAAGCCTGACCACCGCCAGACCTTGTCGTGTGTCTTTCCTGCCGGCCGGGAGCGACATCGACAGAAGGGAGTTGAGGAAAGAGGTTACATTTGGGCAAATAAGAAGATAGAAATACCTCAAAATTAGTTTTCTGTAAATAACCTAGAACTAAATTACAGCAGATATTTTAAAACCTTGATTTTTCACAGTGGAATGTGGAATGAATTTACACACTTCTTTAAAGACCTAATGCCATACACTACCAAGGACTTGAGATGATGACTCAAATACACTGTGAATCTTGGGGTTAGTTATGTATTTTTTAAAGGGTAACTTGCTGTGTATAGGAAAGGAGAAAGTAGTTTCTTTCCTTTTTTTTTTTTAATTCCTGTAACCCTAATGACTTTAAAACTGGCTTAGATCACATAGATCTTTAATGAGCTTGTGCACTGGAAGTGGCACTGACGGAAGTGACCACGGAGAGTCTCCTGGCCTGCCTGATGGACTCATCTGAAGACACTTGCTATACACTAAATGCGCAGGTGCCCGAGTTCTATGTTGAAATCTTAACCTCCAAGTGATCATATTAGGTGCCAAGGGCTCTGGGAGGTGATGATGCCAAGGCAAAGCCCTCGAGAATTAGAGGGAAGCCAGAAAGCTCCCTTCCCCTTTTGCTGATTGAGGATGCAGTTAGAAGACAGCTGTCTACAAACCGGAAGAGGCCCTCACCTTAGTCTAGGTTTTCGACCTCCATAGCTGAGAGAAGTATGTTCTACTGTTGATAAGTCACCCACTTTACCGTACCATTACAAGCAATGTAGACACACCAAGACGGTATTCTTGGATGAAGGGGAGCATAGGGGGTTCTAAAGGAGCCCATCATCCAGAGGACTGTAGTTCTCAGGAGGGCCCAATGGAAACAAAGCACTTGAAGTTCCCTGTTAAAAACAGGGGCTCAGATAAAGCCAGCATTGATACTGGAGAAATGGGCCTTCGAGTCCAAAAGGAAGTTCTTTCTTTGTGCCATGCTTTTAAAACGGTGATAAAATCATCTTCAGAGACAACCACTGTAGTGCCATATTCTAACATGTCTAATGGATTTAGTGTTTCAGAATCTTCTTCATAATAAGAAAACAATTTATGCTTTCACAGGATTATTTAGTTAGAAAGCACTTTTATTTTACTAGCACAATGCAGAGTATATGAGAATAGAGTTCGATCTTGATTCAAAGTTTGATTTTTTTATTTACTGGCTATATGACCCTGGGTGTTTACTTAATTGTTCTTGGTCTCAATTTCCTCACCTGTAAAAGGGAGATCATAACCTGTACTGTTCAGGGCTGCTTCGAAGAATAAAAGTATTGCAAGTAAGGCATACATTGTAGGCACTTGCTTATGGAAGAAATGCTTTACTTAAAATCTTTCCCCTCTCCTCCACTTTCATTCGTTTATCGGAAACAATTTTCCGCAGGATAGATTTATACTCAGAATATTCTAGTGGAAATTACAGTGAGTAGCCTGTGTTGATCAAAATAGTCATAGCCATTGCTTTCAAGTATTATAATTTAGCCAAGTATATTCCACCAAAACACATTTTAAACAATATACCACCTGTGTTAGGTAGTTAACATGTATCCGAGAGTGACAGTAGCTGGATGGACTATCATACATTTTCAAACTGAGTCGCTCATTTTAAAGAAAGGACCAAGCCATAGGATAATGTTAAACTGATATTAAGCTGGCTAGCATTAATTTAGTTTGTCAAATCAAGTGCAAGTGACAGATGCATGTGGGAATTCTCATCAGTTCTATGAATCGACACTAGAATGAGAAGTAGAAATTCAAATGGAGATTTTCTAGGCTCTAAAGCCAAGGGCAGTGGTGGAGCCAAGTGGGAAGGGCATCTGGAAAGGCCCAGGTCCACTTTATCAGTTCCCCAGACCCTATCCCATCCTCACAGAGCACTTTTTCCCGATGTTCTGTAGTTCATATTTTTGTCCTGCCACTGAGGTGTTGAATGTGCATTTATTGTAAATATTCCTGGGAACTCATTGAGCCTATGATTTTTTTTTTACTGGAAATGTATATTAATGTGGATGAAAGGCCCAAAGCAGAGCTTTGTCAGATTAGGGTTCGAAAGACAGAGAAGAATCATTAGAGTCTTGAGAACAAAAAGCAGGAGATGGAATCCTAAGCAGAATCCACTGTTTGAACAGAAACACTGGGATGGTAAATAATTTAAAGATTTGGAATTTCTCTACAAAGATATGTCATAATTATATGGTAAGTTAGTTTCTATTTTTTAAAATTTTATTTAAAGAGAGAAGAAAAACGGGAAAAGGGTCCAAGTAATACAGAGTTTCAAAAAATAAACAGTATGAAATCACTAGTTAATAGATTAAATATTGTCATCTTAGAAATACTTGTTCAAGTTACAGGATTAAAGCATACAAAGTAGACATTCAGACAGTGAGACTGCAAACAGTTCTGTTCAGTGTTCAACAAAAACTCAGTAATATGTTTGTCTATCTAATACACTTAAATATACATGCAGTTGTATCCTTTAGAGCTCTTCTTTTCCTCTCTTTTCTACAATAACAATTATACATTTTGGGTTTTATTACTCCCACAGGTCTTAATACTTTTAGTTGCTATTTTTTAAAATGTCACTACCCTTTGATAAACAGGTAAAATGTTTCTCTCACTAGATTTCTGTGCACTGGGGAAGGTGGAAAAGTTTCACCTCCTGTCCCAGACTGACAGAGAGGAGATCTGGAGTCCGCAGTGGGGAGGAGCTCTGTTCTGACCTAAGTAGGTAGGAAACTAAGCAATTGTAGTTAGTGTAAAGACATCCCTGCTAACAGAGCCCTTGGAGTCAGGACATGAAACCAGAGTAAGGGGAATATGTGGGGGGTGTGATGGCTAGACTTACTCATGAAGTTTTTGTTGTTTTCTGTTCTTGGGATTATGAGTAGTGAGAAGTTAGGCAATTGCAGTGAAAGATGGGTTTACTTGGAATTTTGCAGAAGATGTAACAAACACTACAACCCCCCATGGTCTAAAAAAGAACATACTCCAAATTATTGGAATTTACCAATAACTGCCTTCATGGTTAAAAATGACCTAGCATGTTTTGGGTTAAATTTGCCTCTGAAGCATCAGAATCAAAAGCTGAAAGTCAGAAGAAGCCACAATTGATTGGGGAATAACTGCTTCCCAATTCATTTTGGAATTCTGTATTAATTACTTGCTTTTTTTGTGCTTTGTATTTTGAACCTGAAATCTGAGAAGTGATAAAAAGTGTCCAGCTTTTTCCAGAGAGACATTCTGTATCTAAAAAGAGGAATGTCTATATTAGAAGTAGATCTCTTTGGAAAGAACTCAATATGACTTACTCAAAGGCAAACCTTTCTTTAAGTAATTTATTTATGAAAAAAAATTAAAAGCCCAGTGATTTCCTTCTAAAGAGCATAGTACAGAAAGGAGGATAAAAAGCTGTTTTACAGAGGAGAAGGCTATTAGGCACTAGCCAGCTGAAGAAGGGCAGCACTGACAGTGCTTAATCATGTTGATGATAACAGAATAACATCAGAAAAGTGGCACTCTATCTCTGTGGTCTTCTCAATAACTCATAAATCTAATGGTGACAAAATTAGGTAACTTCCAGCAAAAAACTGTCCTACAAGATACTTGACTAGAGTCCGTCAAAACCCTCAAAGTCACCAAGAATCCAACAGAATGTAAAAAAATGGTCACAGCTCAGAGAAGTTTAAGGCAATCAATGACTAATTATAACATGGTATCTCAGATTGAATTCTGAATCATAAAAATGATACAAGCTGAGTAAATCCAAAGCAAGGAATTTAGTTAAAAATAGAATCCTAATATCACCTCACTCATTGTAACATATGTGATATGCTAATTAAGATTTCAAAAGGTGAATCTGAGCTCAGAGTACAGGAGAACTCTGTACTACCTTCCTGGTTTTTCTGTAATTCTAAAATTGTTCTAACATTAAAGTTCTTTAAGAAAATTTCAAAAGAAAAATAACAATTAGCAAAGTCTTTCTATCAGTGTTATCTTTACTGTAAACTCAGGTTAAAATTGCTTATGCTGTTCTTCCCTTCCTGGAAAACTTTCTCCAATAACTCTTGTTCACAGGTTTTGCATATTCTAAAAACAATAAAGAGAGAAAATGCAGTGTACCCTGTTGCCTAGGGTACACAATGGCACACAGTCATAGAACTGAAACAAACACCTCAGAAAATTTCTATTACTTTTTTTCTAGTCCTTCCTACTCTATTTAATTCTGTGCTTTCAGGAAAACTCTTCCAATTGTGACCTACCACATAAATTGTTTGTGTGATCAAACCCAAGATCTGGCATATGGTAGGCAAACACCCTGCCACTGAACTATATCCCCATTCTTACCACATTTCATGGTTTATGTCTGTGTCCCTATGCCTCATGAGTTTGCATTCTGTATTTGTGATCGGTTCATGGTCTAGTGCTTGGATTGATAGTGTCAGTGCTCCACCCACCTAGGGGTGGAGCCAGGATGTGATGTAATGGCAGGAAGAAGGTGTGTCTTGCTCTTTGCTGGTTGGAGCTTGCTGTTTGCAGCTGCCATGAAGCCCAGCCAAGCCTGCCTGCCTTGGAGTCAACTGAGTGTGGACTGAAAGCTCCAAAACTGTAAGAAATAAACCTTTCGTTTCCCAACTTTGGGCTTCAGGTATTTTGTCTCAGTGACGATCATAAAGTAACTAAGACACCACATCAAGGTCTTTACCCATCAATTGCACCTTGTCATTGGAATAAGCCTTCCTTTCAGGCTTAACTCAGTGATCGCTTCTTTGTTTCTGTATTGCCAGCCTTCTTTTGCTAACCTGCTCCTCATGTTGGCAGCAGAGTGAATGTCAGCAGTGAAACATGAAGCTCAAGCCTTCAGAGTGAGCTGAAACACTAGTGTAAAAGTTTGTGATGCACCACAGCCAAGGAAGAAAGTTAAACAGCTACAGGGCAATTAAAGGACTTTCTTTACACATTCAGGAATGAGTTGGATAATTATAGAGACTCCCCAGAGAGGAAGAAACAAACACGTGTAAGTCAAAGCACGCATTGCTTTCAGGGAGCTAAAGGTAGTCTAATTAAATTTCATAACTTTGTACTTAGAAGTGAATTACAGAAGTAATGTACTGGAAGAAAAACTTATCACTAACAAGACGGCCAAGTTGTTGTTGGTGCAGAGTGTTTATGACTATCGGAACCAACTTTTTTTTCCACAGATTTTACTAACACCAACAAATGCAGAAAAACAGAAAACATGTTTCTCCAGTTCAACTATTAACTGGTTCCATGGTGCAACATGGTGTGTGGAGTCACTGTAATTTCAGAGCAGTCCTTCCTTTTTGGCATAATATGACAGACTTGAGTGAAAGAGTCTTTGCTGGGAAAGAAAATAAGGAATATGATTTTAATGAAAATGTTTGTAATAATTTAACATATACTAAACTCAGGTTAGTTCAGTTTCAATGTTGTATGGCTGTCAAAAAGAAGGTATTGTTTTGAAACTAAAAAGACTGCCAAGTATGCGAATGGGAAGATGTTTTAAATAGGATGAGAAACTGGTGACATGTCTCATCTTCTGTCGGTTGTACTTTGACTTACCAACATGGGAACAGGGCAAATATCCCTGCTTATTTCTGGCAGTACTGGAGTAGAGACTGGGTTTCTGGGCCGGGACTTAGCTACTATGCTTTTCTAGAGATGAGGCTCTGTACTAATATATATATATGCATGCTACAATTTAAAACTTTCAATGACTAACCTCATGTTAACCATTAGGACTGATATTTTAAAGTAAACTTAAAATAGTCTGAGAAATACTTTTTGAAAAGTCATTGAGAGTCTCAAGTTGGAGTGACACCAAGACTGGCTAAATTGGATAGGTGTGCTTTCAATAGCCGAGCAAACAAATCACCCTAAAAGCCTTCAAAATAATACTTTTCAGGTTCCACTTGAGATTCCTTCTTGGCCTTGAGGAAAATTCAAAACTGTGAAATTCCAAAGACCCTTCTGAGGGAACTGATGTGTTTTGGTTCATTCTTGGTGTCAGTTAAAATTCTAGTAACCTTGATCCTGCAGTATTGTGGGACTTACAAATTCTGTAATATGATACCTGCTTTTGAATAAAGGGTTCAGAAGAGCCTAATATGTAGAGTACTTAGGCAGTACTAAGCACAGGAATACAGTTAAACATTTGGCTGAAACTACTTTTCTACTGCTAGTGTTAACCCCGTTTCTGGCAATTGTGTTCCATGTTCATGGGGACAGTTTTGCCCTTTGGTCCTTTTCCTCATGTCTTTCTCAGCTGTCAATCCCACAGTGTAGTCAAGGGGCCACTTTATAATTATTTATTTCTAAGTCTTTGTTTGTCTTAATAGCTACAGCCTGACCATGAAAAATTAAACTTTTATCTCATCCTCTTATCATTACCAATTGTGATTATACTTCATGATTCTTCAAAAACTGAACACTTTTAGCCAAGGAGCGATTTGAGGGTGAAAGTGTATTACTGTAATATTGATTTGCCAGGAGCATACCTGCCGAGCACTTTGTCCCAGACTGTTGCCAAAGGGAATTTTGTAGGGTCATCAAAGGCCACTCCAATAGTGTTTCCGCTTTCTTGTTTTCCTGGGGACTACCTGTGGTGGGGACATATTACCTGGCTTCACCCCTCATCTGCCCCACAGGACCTGGCTGTCCACACTGCGCTCCTAGTGCAGAGTGGAGAAGCCCTGAACCTGTGCTTGTTTTTCTTTTAAATGGGAAACAATTGTTCATTTCCTGAGAACTTACTGATTCTCAGGTAAATACAGAGAAAGCTAATGGTAACTGAGCATATTAAAATATACATACTTTTCAACAGATTTTGTAAGCTACTTTTACTATGGACCTAAATTGTATATTCATTTTGAATAGGTGCATGCTTGATGGTAGGAATAATACCAAAAGAGCATCTTCTAATATTTGGATCAAGACATTGTTGATGGTTGGATGGAAGCACTCCAAAAAATATGCCTGTAAAATGAAACTGGTAAATGTAACTTTATTTGAAAGAAAAGGCTTTAGATGTAATGAATTATATGTAATTAATCTTTATAGGTGTATCTTGAATAACCTGGGTCAGTGCAAAATATTGCAATGACACTGTCTTTTAGGAAGAAGACACATAGAAGGCCTTGTGAAGACAGGGGTAGAGAACGGAGTGAAGTAGACACCAGGAAGAAATGTTTGAAGCGCCAGGAGCTAGAAGAGGCAAAGAAATAGTCTTCCTATAGCCTCTGCAGTAAGCAGCCCAGCCAGCACCTGGACTTCAGACTGTACCTTCAGGACTATCTGAGAATATGTTAATGCTGTTTGAGCCACCAAATCTGTTGTAGTTTGCTACAGGAGCACTAGGAAGCGAAAATGGAGATCTGTGAAAGCATGATCTCATAACATGGAACTCCATTCAAAGAACAGAGACGCCCCATAGCATGAAGGTGTGGTGGGCCAAGGGTGAATTCTTATGGTGCATCATACCTATGTTAAAGATAGAGAAGGTAAGGCTCACGGTGCCATGGTGACCAGGCGGGGCCTGGGAGATGATTCTGCTGACTGACAGTGCTGGAGTTGTTACATACTTGGGTTCCCGGTCCTGTCTGGAGTTGAATCCCACTGCTGTTCTAACCAACTATGTGACTCTGGATAAGTAATAGACACTTCTTTCCTCATTTTTCTCAACTGGAAAACAGCAGGTCTAACAAAACTTCACTTCTGTACCTATAAGACTAAAAGCATTGAGAATAATAACAAGAGCTAAGCGAATGTTAGCTATTGTGATCACTACCAATCTACACTGCTATACTACTGCCAGAACCAGAGAAAGAAGACAGCAGAATGGGATCATCTTTAAGGCAGGACAGAAGACCTTTATCAGGTGCCACTTTCAGAAAGATTATTCTACAGAACTTTCAGTTCTGCTGTGGCTGCCTTAAAGGAGACAAAAAGCCTTAGCACTCTGGAAAACTGTTCTTGCAAGGTAAGAACTATACCAAGAGGTTCAAATGTGTCACCTCCATTCAATGATGAAAGGACTGAGGCACATTAAATTTTATGCCTTGCTTATTTTCAGAAGCCAATTTGGAAAGCTGGATGTGGTGACGCATGCCTGTAATCTCAGCACTCGAAAGGCTGATGTAGAAGGATCACTGGGAATTCAAGGCCAGCCTATAAGACATAGTGAAACTCTGTCTCAAAAAGAGGAAACAAAAACAATCGTTGGAAACAACATTGGAATTCAGTCTATGATGCTCTCACTCTGAAATGTTCTTTCTGTCACACGACATTGCCTTCTGGAACCAATTTTGCAAATGCTAAGTGACCAAAAAGTAGTTTTTGAATTAGTAAAATCAAAGCTCATTGTCAATAACTTTACAGAAAAGTTAGAGTATTTAAGAGTATTTTAAAAAGAAGTTATTTCCAGAACATAAATCAAAACATAAATTTCAGAACATAAATCTATTGAACTATTTCAGTAATAAGGGAAAGATTAGGAAACAGCCATTCTCAAGATAAACCTGTTCCTTTTTGTCCACAGCTGCCACCCCTTCTTGTGTTGGCTGGGAGGTCGCTGTTACTGTAGATGTAACAGTGAGCATACGACAAGTGGCATTCTAGATGGCTATTTGTTCTTCTTTATTGTTTCTAAAGAATAACAATGCGGACCAAAAGAAAGAAAAATGAAAGTCCTACCGTGAACACGGATCATTCTCACTTTCATTATGAACGTTTTTGAAAGACAATGTTTTCAGTTTAGTGTACTTTTCTTTGTCCCACTTAGTTCATTAAATGCTTATTTAGACTCACCTTCTCTTACAGCAAGGCCTTGCAGGATAAGATGCTGCCCACTTAAATAAAAGATGCAGGATCCTGAAACAGAAGCAGTCTTAACCCAACACCCATAAATGAGGCAGTAACTGGTGCCACGCAGTTCTGACCCTGGCACTTGAATCAAGACTGGCTTGTTCTAGGTCACAGCATACTTAACTTGAGGCTAAGGACTTGCATGGGGAAAGGGTGGAATTTTATGAAAATTTTGCTGAAATGAAAGCTTTTCTGTACACATTTCAAAGAAGTTTGCACTATCTGTAAACTAAGAACCACTTTTTGAGTGTCCTTCCTCAGGCCTCCCCTCAACCCTGTACCTGCTGCAGTTTGTATTCTCAGACACTGCTAACCAAAGCTAGTTACCACATTTTATTCATTGATATCATCTTAAATGCCAATATAACGTCCATTGTATTATGGATTATCTATTGATTGCGTAATAAGACAGAACGAGAAGCTTCCCCTTGTTAATGATGTCATCTTGCAGTCAAAGATCAGATTTCTAAACACAAGACTGCTGGACATATCCAGAGCAATTTACCTTGCCGGAGGTATCCAGCTCTGGTCTTCTGTTTTCGTTATCCTCAGGATGATCTTGAATGGTGAATTCTCCTTTCTGGGTTTCTACTGCTTCATCTGTGAAATAAGAATTTGAATTAAGTAAACCTCAAAGTGTCTTCAAACATTAAAACAATTGTGTTCCATGTAAAATGTCATCAAACCATTAGGATGGATAGTCACTCACGAGAATTATTTTTAGAGCAGGTCACAGTGTAGGGACACACCACTGGCTGCTGATTTCTATACTCTGAGGGCTCAGGGTGCTGCAGGTGCCAGGGTTGAGGGGATGTTGAGATAGGACAAGGAGACACGGGCTAGAAACCTCACCTGGTCATTTTTAATCTCCTTCATATTTTGGGGTTGACTTAATGTGTAGAAAATATTTGATTTTATTTTTTTTAACCAAGGAAAATGGTTTAATTTGGATCATGGTTCTGGATGCTGGAAAGGCCAAGATCAGGGACCAGCATCTGGCCAGCACCACCTGCTGCTTTGCCTCATGGTAGAAAAGCAGACCAGAGAGTATGTGTAGAGTATAAGGTGATTCCAGGCTCAGCTTGTAATACCTGCTGCCCATTTGTCTGTCTGTCTATCTTTCTATCTACCTACCGCTCACTATATATCTATATAGCAATAAGTAATAATTCCACGTCTTTTAGGGATTTATCTATCTGTCTGTCTGTCTATCAATTACCTTGGACAGTTTTGATTCTTTCACCCCTAGCCTGCACCTCCCCTTCCCCATATCCAAAATTTCTGCCGATTTCCTATCATCTCTCCTTTATTTTACTCCTAACTAATTACAAACAAATTAGAAGCTATAGCCAATAAAAATCAACAATTGTGAGAGATGATCAGGTCGCAGCTTTTTACCTCTTAAAAGGTTGACTTTTTTTTTTTATTATTTCAGGTCAGTAGATTAATAGGTTACATGACCAATCTGTACAATAATTTACTTAAATCATTACGAGAGAAGGGGCTAGGTAACATATATTGTTCACAAACCTCATGGAAATCAAGTAGGCCTTTTCCATAGCATCTCATGTAGTGAGTATTAGTGACACTGTATTTGCTTATTAAATAGATAGCTTAGGGCATGTATATAAGTAGTTGTTGAATTTTTTTATTGCATAGTATCATACTATTAGTAATTAAAGGACTACACATTCAGTATCATTTACATATTTACCTATGCACAGTAAAGTACATAAATTTTAGTTTTAAAGTAACAGAATTTATTTTACAATTTTGAAATAGTGAGGCAATTTTAAATTCTTAGAGTTTGTCATTGCTAAAATAGCTAAGTCTTGTTATTCATTTCTGAATTTTGTAAATTTCATAGGTAGCATATTTAACTTCAAAAAACTTTTTGAAGAGTAGAAATGTAGTTTTTAGGAACTGTTCTAGAAATAGTGCAATCAGGTTGTCATGATGACTGCAGCGACAAAAAATTGATTTTTATACAAATTAGCAAAGGTAGAGAAATACAGATAGCAGCTAAATAAAAAAGGTTGTTGATAACTTCATGAGAAATGTTGTTGCTATGTAAATAGCTTGGTTTTTAAGAAAGAAGAATTGCTTTATCTATTAAAATCATACTTGATACTGTAAAAGTAAAATATTCTCCCTGAAATATCACAAGAAGTTACAAAATACTGTACAAATACAGATATAATTTTACCTCCTTAAGAATAAACATGATTCAGTATGGTAGTATACTCCTATAATCCCAGCCCTCTAGGAGGCTGAGGAAGGAGGATTACAAATTTGAGCCTGGTCCAGGCAATTTGGCAACTTGGTCAGAGTCCATCTCAACATAAAAAAGGGCTGGGGATGAAGCTCAGTGAAAAGGCGTTGGTTTCAAGACCACAAATTAAATCCATACAACAAAAACCAAAGATATTGTTCACAATGTGGAGGTTTTTTTCCTATGCATTCTTTCCTGTAAACTTGTTTGAATTATGGTATGTATTTAATTTGTATTGTTTTTAAAATTAATTTTACTGATAAAATTTTTATATTATTGTTGTTGTTATCATCATTTTGTAATCCTGAGGATAAAACTCAGGGACTCTCTATCACTATGCTGCATTTACAGCCCTGTATAGTTTTTATTTTGAGATAGTGTCAGTAAGTTTCACAGATGCTTCAAACTTGTGATCTTGCCTCAGGCTTCTGAGTAGCTGACATTATAGTCATGTGCCACCAAGTTGTTAATGTGTTACACTTAAAAATTACCTGTCTAGTGATTTAATTCGGATAAATGTTAAGTTCACTCAAGATTTATTCTCTTGATGCCACAAATATTTGTTGTGCTACTAATATGAGCCTAGAATTTGCAAGGTAGTAATATGATACTCCTAAGCAGAGGATGCATAGACGGTATATGACAAAAAATCCAAATATTTTCAGTCATTACTCTTTGTGTCAAGATCTGAGGTGTTTATCTGGCTGTTGTTTATCAGGCAAAGCAGGTAAGAAAGTATATATGCGTGTGTATTTTTTTATGTAGATTGTGTCAGATTTAATTCTGTTAAGTTTAAAAAGCTTAAAATTTTCTTTCCAAACCGATGTATAGCATTTATGTTTTCATGATAAGAACAGAAAATTTTGAGACAAAGGGCAGGTTCTTCTATTGATTGGTATAGCTTCCCTGTATCCTGGGCCGGAGTGTGTGTGCCAGGGAACAACACACCAGATATTACACACTTTGTGTTGTGCACCGTGGTTGCCAAGCCAGGAGTTCCTAGGGCCATCCATCAGCGGCTCCAGGCTGAGTAATTAAAATAAATATTTTAAGTAGAGTTTTAAATTCCCCACGAGTTCCCTTTGGTTGGGGACGAGTCCGAGAGTATTATTGCTGATAGAAGCAGAGGAAAGAATTAAAGTTACTGAGTTTTCATAAGCGGTGATAGGTTAACTGCTTTTGTTTAGAAGGGAATAGATAGTTCTCTGTGAGGAGGGGCTGTGATAATTTTGACTAAAGGTTTTGCACAGAAAGGGTTATTAGATTTCTCAAAAGAATAAAAAACAAGGTAATTTAATACTTTGGGCTGGGCAAGATTTAATTTCAAACAATGTTTTTTCACTTTTCTTTCTTTTTCTACATCAGCGAACAGTCACTGACACTTACTGGGCATGACATTCTGTAAGGCACAGAGTGCAGTTCCACATCATGAGCAGGGACTCCTGCTTGTCCCCGGGGATGGCTGGACTTAGGTGCAGGTGCAACAGAGGTATTATTTCTCCTGACTAGTGGCTCTGGACATGCCTTGTTGAGATTTTTGATTCTTCCTGTCTTTTTTTTTTCTGGTTGTTTTAATTTTTTTCAAAATGCTGCTTAGATATATTCCCAAATTTTCTTTTTTAATCTTTTCACAGATTACCAGCTTGGCATCACTTCAGCTTACAATTATTAACTGACATCGTTTGATCTTACAATGGAGCTGAAGAGAAGGGATGCAGTATTTCAATAGCAACTCATCACCTTGGAAGCTACTATTCTATGGTGATCATAATAGCAGACATCTATTGTGCATTTTGTGCTCTAGAAATGGACTAAGCCCTTTGTAGGTATTACCTGATGCAGCTCACTTTATGACACCATAGTGGAAGCACTGTTTCTATACCTAATTTACAAATGAAGGAACTGTAGCACTGGAGAATTTAAAAAATCCGTTTTATAGAAAATGAAGTACCTGCTCTTATCCACTCTGTCAGTCTTTCTTGTTATGCAGAACTAATTCTAACCATAACCTGGCAAATCATCCAACTGTTTGACTACTCATCTGTCCCTCCATCTCTTCATCCAGCCATCCATCCATCCATCCAACCATCCAGCCAGCCAGCCAGACATTCAGTGAAGTATTTAGCAAGGTCGGAGAAAGGTTATAAGCTTCAGTAAGATAGCTATGATCTCTATCCTCAAACCAATTTCTAGAGAGTAAGAAAGACAACACATCTTCACACAGCATATGTGAGATGCTATGACACAGAAGTGTTAGGCAGTCCAGGGTACAGGAGGAGCCCCGTAGGAGAAAATGTCAGGATTGGCATAGCAGGTGGGGAATTCTCATTCTCATCTCAGTATTCTTCAGGTATTTTGATACCAGAGCCATATTATCTAAATTCTATGAGGAAAGGTCTTTGAAACATGGTTTTCTTTTGTCTTGTTCCCCTAGTGCCTGGTACACAATAGCTGCTGAATTAAATTTTGGTAAATAAATGAGAATTGTAATGCAGGATTTAAAAAAACTTATTTGTATTTTTATTCTCAGTGTTCTTTAACAATCTCCCTCAAGTCGAAATAAATGCTCTCTTTTTGATTTATAAAATCAAAAATAGAGCTCCTGCTCCTTGTAAACCTTTATCTAATAGCTCTCTTCTGGGAACACTGCCACACCCATTATATTTTACTAAAACAAGCCCTCTTTGGATACCTTGTAAAGTAGGTTACCTGAGTGGAAATTCTGGGACCATCTGGTGAAATAAAACTTACCAGTGGCTTTTTTCTTCCCTTTTTCCCCCTAGTTGATCTGTGGGATTTGATGCTCTACTTATTCTCAGTAATTTGGAAACGTGTCCTCTTTTAACCTTTTGAGAATGACCCTTAAGGTTTTTCTGCTCCTTATTTTTCTCTACTCTTACTCTTCAAAAACTTTAACTATGAGGAACTGGATCTTAAGTGTTTATATACAATATTTTGGAAGGTTACAAGAATTCATAGCTAAACTAGAGAAAAATGTCCAGGCTGATCATTTACTTGAGTGCATGAGACTTTTTGTTATTATAGGACAATGTTTTTTTAGGTTATAATCCTTCAGTGTGAGTGTTGGCTATTTCTACCTTGTGCCTGCTTCGTTTATGTTGAGGGATAATATATTTTCCTTCATGAACTGGTGGAATACTTGGGTAGCAAATACAATGCTTGTGGTTAAAACTAATGGGAAGGAGAACCCAAAGTTCTCAAGGGTAAGAAAGAAGTTAATTTGGTGATGGCTATCCTTGTGGCCTATTAAAATGTGAGGTTAGTGAAAGGGTTTTGGCCCAGGTAGGACACTGTAGCCAGGAAAGCC